AGAATAAGAGAACAGAATTAGAATAGAATAGAAAAGAGAATAGAATTAGAAGAGATCAGATCAGAACAGAACAAAATAGAATAATAAAATAGAATAAGAGAACAGAATTAGAATAGAATAGAAAATAGAATAGAATTAGAAGAGATCAGATCAGAACAGATCAGAATAGAATAGAATAATAAAATAGAATAGCAGAACAGAACAGAACAGAATAGAATAGAATAACAGAGTTGGAAGGGACCTTGCAGGTCATCTAGTCCAACCCTCCCAACCTAAACAGGAGACCCTACACCATTTCTGACAGATGACAGTCCAGTCTTTTCTTGAAAGCCTCCAGTGATGGAGCACCCACAACTTCTGAAGGCAACTTCTGTTCCATTGGTTGATTGTTCTCACTGTCAGAAAATTTCTCCTTATTTCTAGGTTGAATCTCCCCTTGATCAGTTTCCATCCGTTGTTCCTTGTCTGGCCTTCAGGTGCTTTGGAAAATAGGTTGACCCCCTCCTCTCTGTGACAGCCCCTCAAATATTGGAAGACTGAGATCATGTCTCCCCCGGTCCTTCTCTTCACTAGACTAGCCTCGTTTTGCACTGTCCCTTCTGCCGGTGTCTCGGCCCTCCAGCGTATCTCATGAAGGAAGGCGGCTGGATCCGAGTCGGACGGACGGATGTTAGCGACCTGCTCCACCAGTATTTGGAGGAGAAGAAATGAGATGGGCTGATGTCCACAAGCACGGAGATCTTCTGACAGTCAGGGCTGGCAGAGAGGAAAGGGATGGGGGACCGTTCCCACTGTCCTTTTACAGGGCAACAGTAAACCGCATTTGAGTTCGTTTTTCTTTTGGCTCTGATTTGTAATTTAAAAGTTGTCTGGATGTCTGAAGGAGAATACATCCCTTTGATGGTGGAAAATAAAATGGATATTAATCACGATTCCTGTTTTGAATCCTCAGAGAGAATTTTGGAGGAATTTTCTGAGGACCTTCTGGTGAGGGCCACAAGTCTCTCTTCGTTCGTAAGCTAAATCTTTTGTTGGTTTCCCCACTTTATCTGGAAATACACGCAACTCACGTTTTTATCCTTGCCAAACTCCACACCTCCCCATTCCCACGTTCACTAAACAGGGAAATTTCTCCACAGTTTCTACTAACGAGGATTTTCTGGCAGGTTGCTCAAGCGTCACTCTTGATCAGTGGTTCTCAACCTTTTTAATGCCGCGACCCCCAACCGGTCGTAAGTCGAGGACTACTCAACTGGTGCAGCACCGTTTGCAGAATGGGACTTTTGGCGGGCTCAGCAGGGCAGAGACAGCCTGGACAATTCCTATTGGCTTTTGAAAGCCATTAGAATTAGACTCTATTCAAGAGAGTCTATTCTATTGGCTTTCAAAAGCCAATAGAATAAAAGGGAGTAGCACAGCTAAGGAAAAGGGGGAAAAATGGCGGACTGTGTTGTTTGGCGACCCCTGTGAAATGGCCGATCGACCCCAAATGGGGTCCCGACCCACAGGTTGAGAACCACTGCTCTTGATGAATTCAAACACGCGAGGAAATGCTCGACCGCAACTTAAAATAATCCATGTTTAAAAATTGAATCCAGGTTTGCAGGGTGTTGGCAGTCAGAAGACGAGGGGAGGCTACTGGCAAGCGATCGAAGAACAAGAAGCAGAGAGCAGGAATCCCTCTTTGGGGAGAATGTGGATCCCTGGAGAATCATGATTATAATCATGATGTTTTTTTTAATTGTGTATAATTTGTTCATTAGTTCCCGTCCCACAGAGGATTCAAGGGCTGCTTTCGTTGAAGAGAACGGTTAGGGCTTCCGTCCCAAATTTTGCAACACCGTTCGAGGAATTTCAACTGCAGACCTGGGAAACCGTCACTTTGGATTATGACATGGATTATGACTGCATCCAGTTTTGGTCACCACGATGTAAAAAAGATGTTGAGACTCTAGAACAGTGTTTCTCAACCTTGACAATTTTAAGGCATGTGGACTTCAACTCCCAGAATCCCACAGCTAGCATTGCTGGCTGTGGAATTCTGGGAGTTGAAGTCCACATGCCTTAAAATTGTCAAGGTTGAGAAACACTGCTCTAGAAAGAGTGCAGAGAAGAGCAACAAAGATGATTAGGGGACTGGAGGCTAAAGCATATAAGGAATGGTTGCTGGAATTGGGTATGTCTAGTTTAACGAAGAGAAGGACAAGGGGGGACATGACAGCAGTCTTCCAATATCTCAGGGGTTGCCACAAAGAAGAGGGAGTCAAGCTATTCTCCAAAGCACCTGAAGGCAAGACAAGAAGCAACGGATGGAAACTAATCAAGGAGAGAAGCAACCTGGAACTAGGTAGAATAGAATAGAGCTGGAAGGGACCTTGGAGGTTGAAAGGATTTTATTGTGCTTATGATTTTAGTATGTTTAAGTCTGACATTAGCATTTATTTTATATATAGTAACCATTTTATATTGATACTTATAGTGTTATCATGTTTGTTTGTTTGTTTGTTTGTGAGACTTATATACCACTTTAAGTGCAAGCACTCTCTAAGCGGTGTACACCAGTAAGCAATGTATATATATATTTACATTGCCCCCAACAATCTGGGTCCTCATTTTACCTACCCCGGAAGGATGGAAGGCTGAGTCAACCTTGAGCTGGTGAGATTTGAACCGCTGACCTGCTGAACACAGTCAGCTAAAGTGGCCTGCAGTACTGCACTCTTAACTGCTATAATCATTGTTTTGTTATTTTGTAATCATTATTTTGTAGTTAATTGCTTGATCAGATGCTTTATATCAGTGGTTCTCAACCTGTGGGTCGGGACCCCATTTGGGGTCGAATGACCATTTCACGGGGGTCGCCACGCCCCTGGCACCCGGTGATGTATAAGTGGTTGGGAGTAACCACAACATGGGGAACTGTATTATGGGGTCGCGGCATTAGAAAGGTTGAGAACCACTGCTTTATATATATATAGGAAAAGTAAGGGCTTCATGCTTTAGGTATAGGTGATTGCTTCTATGAAAAGAGCACAGTAAGGGGAGGGGGGAAGGGGTTACGGATGGAGCCTGGGTTGCTGTGTATGAGTCATCATCTAGAAATTGTTTTTTTGTGCCATCTTATGCCTGGTACCAAGACCGATCTCTTTGTCGAAAAGCGTATAAACAGGTTCTCACACCTTTTAATGCCGCGACCCAACCGGTCGTACGCCGAGGACTACTCAACTGGTGCAGCCACGTTGCAGGAATGGGACTTTTGGCGGGCTCAGCAGGCAGAGACCAGCATGGACAAGCCCTATTGCTTTTGAAAGCAATAGAATTAGACTTATTCAAGGAGAGTACTATTCTATTGGCTTTCAAAAGCCAATAGAATAAAGGGGAGTAGCACAGCTAAGGAAAAGGGGAAAAAATGGCGGACTGCGTGTTGCGGCCCCCGTGATAATTAAAATGGTCGTTCGACCAAATGGGGTCCCAACCCACAGGTGAGAACACTGGTATAAAAGGTGAAGCCATCTTTTCTGGGTTGTTGCTTTCATCTCTCTACCAGCACGAAGAGAGATGGGGTACCAGCTCTGTTTGATCAAAATAAAAGTGTGTGCATTGCTGAAACCTCGGCTCAGGAGTTCTTTGGCTCTTTTTAAATTCCCGAGTATGCTGGGGCAATTGTGAGGTCTAAGTGGAAAACCTTACAAGGTCTCTAGTCCACAGACCCCTGTTCAAAGCAGGAGGGACTATACCATCTCAGACAATGTGACTTGTCTCTTAAAAATCTCGGCGAGGGAGCGCCAAAGGTTTTTTTGGAGCAAGCTGTTCCATGGTAATTTCCTCTGTCGGAAGTTTCTCTTAATTCAAGGTTGCTTCTCTCTCCTGTCAGTTTCCAACCATTGTTTCTTGTCCGCCCTCTGAGCTTTGGTGTAAACTAAGGAGAATGTCCTGACCGTTAGAACCATTAACCAGGGGACAAAACCTGCCACCAGAAGTTGTGAATCCTCCAGCTCGGAAGTTTTTAAGAAAGAGATGGGACAGCGTTTGTCTGAAATGGTATGGGATTGTCCACTAGCACTAGGATTTGATGGATGTGGGTGCATCCGCTCTTGCGATGGGCAGAGACAACCGGAGATTGGATCCTAAAGAGCCAGGCCTTCAGCCACTTGGAGGCTCAAGGAGTTCCAAGACACGTGAAGTGTTAATACCACTCTTCAAGCTTGGTTACGCCATACTGGAATACTGCATCCAGTTTGGTCACCACAATGTAAAAAAGATGGGAGACTCTAGAAACAGTGGTTCTCAACTGTCCGGTGGACCCATTTGCGGGCGCATGACCATTTCACAGGGGTCACCAAACATTTGCTGTCGCCAGTTTTTTTTTCTTTTTCCCCTAGCTGTCCTTCCTTTACTCCCTCTATCGTTGCCACACCCACTTGGGTGTCACCACAAACATGGGGAAATGAATTATGGGTCCACGGCATTAGAAAGGTTGAGATCACTGCTCTAGAAGGAGTACAGAGAAGAGCAACAAAGAGATTAGGGGACTGGAGGCTAAAACATATAGGAAAGGATGCTGGAATTGAGTATGTCTAGTTAATGAAGAGAAGGATGAGGTGGGGACATGATAGCAGTGTTCCAATATCTCAGGGGCTGCCATAAAGAGAGGGAATCAAGCTATTTTCCCTAAGCACCATGGAAGGCAGGACAAGAAGCAATGCGGTTGATGGAAAATAATCAATGAGAGAAGCAACCTAGAACTAAGGAGAAATTCCCGACAGTGAGAACAATAATCAGTGAACAGCTGACTCAGAAGCAGTGAATGCTTCCGAACACTGAGTTTTCTAAGAAGAGAATGGACAGCCATTTGTCCGAAAATGGTGTAGGGTTATGCCTGAGCAGGGGGTTGGACTAGATGACCTCCAAGGTCCCTTCCAACTTTACTACTATTACGATTACTATTAGCAACTAATGCAGCTCAGAAAAAAGCAACGAGGCAGGGACATAACGAGAAGCTCAAACCGAAAGCGCAAGCAACTTGTTGGGGGATTTTTCGGCTCTGTGCTGTGAGTTTTGTGTACAAGAGAGGGAAAACCCAGCCCGGCACGGCTGAAGCGAGGCATCGGATCCAGAAGGATCAAAAGCCCGGCATGGAAGGACTTTCCTGGCCGCTGCTGGAAGGTGAGAGGCTGGAAAAAGAGCGGAGGGTTGCACTAATCTGGATGATTGAGCGGCTCCGAGGGGGTGCGAGGGACTCCACTCTCCATCATTCCCATCCAGCACGGCTGCTCATGCTGGCTGCGGACGAGGGGGAGCGCAGTCCACCTGCTCCTTAAGTAGCTGGGTAGTGATCCCCGATTTCCTGCCTTCTTAAGAACTAACTCTGGCGTGTTTCTTTCTACTTTGCGCGGGATCTAAACTTTGGGGCTCCTGTTTTGCGTCGCGCCTCTACTCCGGAGGATGGGAGCGGGGTTCAAATCCTTACTAGCCTGAAAGAACCGACCTGGATATTCAGATGCTTCTTTCACAGTTTTGGGGTTTGTTGCCAAGGAAACTGAACGAAGAAGCAATCTAGAGTAGTGTTTCTTAACCTTGACAATTTTAAGGCATGTGGACTTCAACTCCCAGAATTCCATAGCCAGCAATGCTGGCTGTGGAATTCTGGGAGTTGAAGTCCACATGCCTTAAAATTGTCAAGGTTGAGAAACACTGGTCTAGAGTTAAGGAGACATTTCCTCACAGTGAGAACAATTAACCAGTCACGCAGGGGTAGGCAACCTTGGCTCTTTTATGACTCGTGGACTTCAACTCCCAGAATTCCTGAGCCAGCATGGCTCAGCTTGGAAACTTCTCCCTTTCCCCTCAGCATGGCTGGCTCAGGAATTCTGGGAATTGAAGTCCACCAGTCATAAAAGAGCCAAGGTTGCCTACCCCTGAACCAGTGGAAGGGCTTGCCTTCGGAAGTTGTGGGTGCTCCATCACAGGAGGTTTTTAAAGAAGAGACGGGACAGTCACTTGTCTGGAATGGTATATAGGGTGTCCTGCTGGAGCAGGGGGTTGGACTAGATGACCTCTGAGGTCCCTTCCAACGCTTGTTATTCTGATTTCAGCCTTCACGAGCAGTGCTGGGGTGCCCCTAGGACCGGAGAACGTGTCGCAAATTAAAATACGCAGAAAGGTGCCTGTAACCCAGTGTTTCTCAACCTTGACAATTTTAAGGCATGTGGACTTCAACTCCCAGAATTTCACAGCCAGCATTGCTGGCTGTGGAATTCTGGGAGTTGAAGTCAACATGCCTTAAAATTGTCAAGGTTGAGAAACACTGCTGTAACCAAAGAAGCCAAAATTAGTGTAAATGTGACCTTTCCCGAAATTGCCACAAGATTTGCTGCACTCAGAATGGATATTGAGGCTGCAGCCACAGGAATCCTTTGCTGAGAAGTTTTCTGATTAGATGCAGGATCTTGGAGGGTAGAGAATTGGGAGGCAGTTTAGTTGACTTGAGGAACCAAATATAATAATAATAGTAAAGTTGGAAGGGACCTTGGAGGTCATCTAGTCCAACCCCCTGCTCAGGTGGTAACCCTATACCATTTCGGACAAATGGCTGTCCAGTCTCTTCTTAAAAACTTCCAGTGTTGGAGCATTCACCGCTTCTGGAGGCAGTTTGTTCCACTGGTTAATTGTTCTAACTGTCAGGAAGTTTCTCCTTAGTTCTAGATTGCTTCTCTCCTGGATTAGTTTCCATCCGTTGCTTCTTGTCCTGCCCTCAGGCGCTTTTGAAAATAGCTTGACTCCCTCCACTTTGTGGCAGCCCCTGAGATAGTGGAACACTGCTATCATGTCCCCCCTCATCATTCTCTTCGTTAAACTAGACCTACCCAATTCCAGTAGCCGTTCCTTATATGTTTTAGCCTCCAGTCCCCTAATCATCTTTGTTGCTCTTCTCTGTACTCTTTCTAGAGTCTCAACATCTTTTTTTTACATCGTGATGACTATAACTGGATGCAGTATTCCAAGTGTGGCCTTACCAAGGCATTGTAAAGTGGTATTAATACTTCATGTGATCTTGATTCTATCTCATACAGGGATCCTCTTAAATCCGTAACCCCCAGATTCCCATAAACAGTAATCCCTCCGTCTTTCTCCCCAGAGCCCATCAGAAAGATGCTGGTCCCTGTCGTGTTTCAGGCAATTCCCCTGATTCTCTGCGACCGAATCCTGCTCTCCTTGCTGAATGGATGGAGCCCCTCCCTGGTCCCACTGGGGGTCTCAGCAGCTTGGCTGGAGGCCGCTCTCCGACTGCTGGTTCTCTTAGGGGTCAGGGGTCTGTTCTCCATGGGTCGAACCTCCCCAGTGTCCTTCTCCACGGTGGCTGCAGTCAGCATCGTGCCCCCTTTGTACCTGTTGGTGGGACACTGGCTTGGGGACCCTCCCCTCCTGGTCTCTTCGGCCGCGTGGTCTTGGTGGCTGGCAATCTACGGGGCGGTGGGCTTCTCCCAGCTCCTCTGGGGGATCCTGGCAGAAGGGCGAAGCCCAAAGGAGTCCCGGAAAGAAGACAAGGCCACCCTTTGGAAGATGCTCCATCTTTTCCGTCCAGACAAGCTGTATCTCACTGGCGCTTTCTTGGTCCTCGTCCTGGCGGTGATTGGTGAGTTGGTGGTGGATTAAATCATTCTCTGTGTCGCAGGATAAGTGAAGAGAATAGAATAATAACTTTATTGTCACCTTGAACGTACACTAATCGGCATACATTAAAATGAAATGTCATTGCGTACAGCTCTCAAAGAGTCACCATCTCCGATAAACACTACATAAATATGCCATAAATCAATAAAATCAATCAATCAATAAATAAATAAATACAGAATTACGCATAGACCTACATATATTATATGACACAGAGAAACAACAGCCTAGTTCGGGTTATGCATACGTGTGCATGGCGAGAAACGCGAATCTTGTGAGAACCACAAATAATCACCAGGGCTGCAATCACACCCTACACCAGTGGTTCTCAACCTTTTTAATGCCGCGACCCCCAACCGGTCGTAAGTCGAGGATTACTCAACCAGTCGTAAGTCGAGGACTACTCAACTGGTGCAGCACCGTTTGCAGAATGGGACTTTTGGTGGGCTCAGCAGGGCAGAGACAGCCTGGACAATTCCTATTGGCTTTTGAAAGCCAATAGAATTAGACTCTATTCAAGAGAGTCTATTCTATTGGCTTTCAAAAGCCAATAGAATAAAAGGGAGTAGCACAGCTAAGGAAAAGGGGAGAAAAAATGGCGGACTGCGTTGTTTGGCGACCCCCGTGAAATGGTCGTTCGAACCCAAATGGGGTCCCGACCCACAGGTTGAGAACCGCTGCCCTACACTAAAGAAAATAAAATAATTCAGTCGCACCAAAAGGTCACCAAAAGGTCTTTAAGAGACCTGACCTCAGTCTTTGAAATTCTGCTGCTCCTTTTGACGTTCTCCCTGAATCCCCTCTGATTCCCTTCTTGGTTGCCTCCTGCCACGGAGCAGTTCCTGCCCAGATAAAATGTGGAATTCCGGAGGCTTTGGCCGTTGGCTCTGAACTCGCTTTCACCAGGGTGCGTCCTGTTTTCCAAACTCTCCATTCGGCCCATTCAGTGTCCAATTCGAGCATCTTTTCTCCCATTTTGAGGGGCTGCCCCATTCTTTCCATAGTTGGGGCGGGAACCCTGGAGCAAAAAGCTCATGGTTTCCTTCCATTACACAGAACAAGACGTACAATTTGCAGTGTTTGTATGTGTTTGTGTTTGTGTGTGTGGATTAAGCTGTCTTTCCTGATAAAGATCCTACATCACCTCCTCTGTTCTTCCCCCCTCCCTTTGCAGGTGAAACATTCCTGCCCTATTACATCGGGCGTTTGATTGACATCCTGGGCACCAAATACGATGCAGAAGCCTTTTCCACAGCCATCTCTCTACTCTTCCTGATCTCATTTGCAAGGTGAGCTTATTCCAGCCCCCCCCCCAGCACTTTTGCTGCAGCTGCCTTTAAATGCACACCCAGGATTACGGTTCTGTTGTCGCCCGGCATCTTGTTCACAAGGCAGTACAAGGGGTGATCACGTTGGATGAAGTTGCCTTCATGGAGATACTGGGACATTTTTTCCCCCCTTGCCAGCTGTAAGGGAGCTATTGACTGTTGCCTTCTTTGGGGATGGTTTTTTGTTTTTTACTTCCTAGTGTAACTTCTGCTCTGGGATTTCCTAGTGGCCTCCTGTCCCAATGCCAGATGCCGCTTCTCTTTTTGAGGTCAACTCAGCTCAGCCAGATCCCTGTGGCAAATGTGGTTTTGATCTTGGCTTCACCAATTTTTTGGTTGCAGAAATCTTGTGGAAAACGAAAGGACTCTTACGAATTCCAGAGGGTTTTAGCAGAGAGATTTATTGCGCAGGTTCAGAAGCAAAAAACAACAAGCAATTCTGAACCCCGAGGGCGGGTTCAGACTTCAGTTTTATACTTTCCTTTTCTCAGGAACAAAGGAACACGCATTGTAATACATTAGGTTCGTTTCTCACGGGTCTACAATGGAGAGTTTGCTACATACATTGTATCCAAGTGTAATGCGCATTAGGTTAGTCACATACTACTGACACAGCACTATTTCAGTAATTATGGAGACACATCATTATTCTAGGGATTGTTCATTATTCCACATTAGAACTGCTTACTCCAGAGGAGGTGCCTTTTCCCTTCTGGCCTGCCAGTGAAAGGCCGAGTGAGGCCTAAAAGACACGGCCCCCGCCTGATGTTTTAAGACTTCAAGAAAGATCTGAAAATGAGGTTGTTTTCTGGAATCCTCCTGAAGCAAACCTTAGCCCTTGCTTTCTTCTTAGCTGCTTGTTTTGCAACCTGGCAGAAGTCTAGCCAGTTAAAACTTGTGGTCTATCCCTAGTTTTCACTTGAATGCAAATCTGGAAAAAAAAAAAAAAGCTTTCTAAAGCAGTGGTTCTCAACCTTTCTAATGCCGCAACCCCATAATACAGTTCCCCATGTTGTGGTGACCCCCAACCACTTATACATCACCGGGTGCCAGGGGCGTGGCCAAAGAAAAGGGGGGAAAATGGCAGACAGCCTTGTTGTTTGGCGACCCCCGTGAAATGGTCGTTCGACCCCAAATGGGGTCCCGACCCACAGGTTGAGAACCACTGTTCTAAAGGAACATGCGTTCTTGGCTGATATCGGGGATCTTGTTGCTGATTTAAATTCAACCTGAAAATGAAAGCCGTTTCAAAATGGAGGGAAGAGCATCAGAAGTAACTTAATCTCAAATGGTGGGATAGATCTGTCCATATGAACATTTCGTTCTCTTTGCACCCGGGTCAAATCTGGTACGTGCTCATATATGGATCTGTGACTCAGTTTCCATTGATGAAGCAGGAACTTCAAGAAAGGTCTGAAAATCAGTTTGTTCTCTGGAGTCCTCCTGAAGCAAATCTTAGCCCTTGCTTTCTTCTTAGCTGCTTATCTGTGGAGACTCTCAAGTCATCCAGGACATGGTTGTCCCAAAGATGATTTTTTTTCAGGAGGCAACTGGATTTCCATGTTGTTGTTTTTTGAGGACGTTTCGCTTCTGATCCAAGAAGCTTCTTCAGCTCTGACTAGATGCTGGGGGAATGGAAGGATTTATATTCCTTGAAGGCAGCTGTCGTTTGGAATTGGGTATGTCTAGTTTAACGAAGAGAAGGACGAGGGGGGACATGATAGCTGTGTTCCAATATCTCAGGGCTGCCACAGAGAAGAGGGAGTCAAACTATTCTCCAAGGCACCTGAAAGCAGGACAAGAAGCAATGGGTGGAAACTAATCAAGGAGAGAAGCAACATAGAACTAAGGAGAAACTTCCTGACAGAACAATTAACCAGTGGAACAACCTGCCTCCAGAAGCGGTGAATGCTCCGACACTGGAAGTTTTTAAGAAGCGACTGGACAGCCATTTGTCCGAAATGGTGTAGGGTTTCCTGCCTGAGCAGGGGGTTGGACTAGATGACCTCCAAGGTCCCTTCCATCTTTTTTTAAAATAATAATAATAGTAGTGACATTGACAGACTTTATCTACCAAGGCAAATAGGTGAAATGCTGCAAGTACGTCAGATGGTTGAAGAAGAAAAAATGGCTTTTGAAGAATATCTGAAGAACAATGATGAAGATGCACTGAAATTAGTATATCAGGAAGGCTTACTGACTATCGGACAGACCAAACTGGCCTACAAAAAAGACCAAATGAAGACAATGGAAAGACAAAGCACTACATGGCCAGTACATTAAAAAAATAGCTGGGAAAGCAGATAATAAAAAGACCTGGCAATGGCCAAGAGCAGGAAAATTGAAGAAAGAGACTGAGGGACTAATTCTGGCTGTAGGCCTTAAGAACAAATGCATATAAAGTCAAAATTGAGAAGACAGCAACAGACAGTAAGTGCCGCCTATGCAAAGAAGCTGAAGAAACAGTGGACCACCTGGTAAGCTGCTGCAAGAAAATCACCCAGACTGACTACAAGCAGCGGCATGACAAAGTAGCAACAATGGTGCATTGGAAGATCTGCAAGAAATATCATTTGCCTGTAAGCAAGAACTGGTGGGATCATAAAATAGAGAAAGTCATAGAAAATGATAAAGTTAAACTGCTCTGGGACTTCAGAATTCAAACAGACAAGCACCTGCAACATAACACCCCAGACTTAACAATTGTCGATAAGAAAGACAAAAAAGTCTGGCTAGTGGATGTGGCAGTGCCTGGAGACAGCAGAATAGACGAGAAAGAACTGGAGAAGATAACAAAATACAAAGACCTACAAATAGAAATAGAAAGACTGTGTCAAAAACAAGCAAGGGTAGTACCAATAGTAATAGGCTCCTTGGGTGCAATCCCAAAACAACTGGAGCACTACTTGAACACCATTGGCATTGACAAATTCGCTATTAGTCAATTGCAAAAGGCGGCCTTACTAGAAACTGCTTCCATCCTGTGACGATACCTGTAATACCATCAAACATCCACATCTGCCTATTCCAGGTCCTGGGTAAGGACTCGATAGGTAGACAAAATGCCAAATCCAGTCTGAACATCTGGCTGACTGTGCTATGATCGATAATAATAATAATAATAATAATAATAATAATAATAATAATAATAATAATAATAATGACTCGATAGGTAGACAAAATGCCAAATCCAGTCTGAACATCTGGCTGACTGTGCGATGATCTATAATAATAATAGTAATTTGCATTCTTTCAGAGAATTGTTGAGGCCACTTGGAGGTTTATCTGTGTCCTCAAGGTCACGTGAGCAGTACAGAAGTGTGTGGAGTCTTCTTGGCTCAGTATGTTTTCTGCCTTGTGTCCCAAAGGTGGATTTCCTTGTTTTTCTTTAAAGACGTTTTGCTTCTCATCCAGAGCTGAAGAAGCGTCAAAAAGAAAACAATATAGTCCAGTTGGCTCCTGAAAAAAGCACCTTTGGGACATCCTTAGCTGCTTGTTTTGCAACCTGGCAGAATTCTAACCAGTTAAAACTTGTGGTCTATCCCTAGCTTTCACTTGAATGCAAATCTGGAAAAAAAAAAAAAAAGCTTTCTAAAGGAACATCCGTTCTTGGCTGGTACCAGGGAGATTGTTGCTGATTTAAATTCAACGTGAAAATGAAAGCAGTTTCAAAATGGAGGGAAGAGCATCAGAAGTAACTTATTCTTAAACGGTGGGTTAGATCTGTTTGTGTGAACATTTCGTTCTCTTTGTACCCGGGTCAAATCCGGTACGTGCTCATACATGGAGCGGTGACTCAGTTTCCATTGATGAAGCAGGAACCAACCCACCCACCCCTCTTGCTGTTTTTCTTTTCTAGCTCCGTGTTTGCCAGCTGTCGTGGGGGACTCTTCATGTTCACGATCTCACGGATGGTTATCCGGACTTGCAACTTACTCTTCTCTTCTCTGGTGTGGCAAGACCTGGCTTTTTTCCAGGAGGTGAAAACAGGTGAGGGCCCAAACAGGCAGCTGCTGTTTCTGGAACTGTCTAAAGGAAAAGAGTCTCTTAAATGAAGCTTGACTGATGACTAGGCAGACCATTCATTTACTATTTTGGGGGGGGGGGGAAGATGGAAGTGCTTTACCAGTGCCACTTTCTGCTCTCTCTCCCTCTCCCTCTCTTCCCTCCCTCCCTCTCTCCCCTCTCTCCCTCCCCCCCTCTCTCTCACACACACTCTCTTACTTGGGATTTCCTGGTGGCCTCCCATCCATGTATCAGTCAGGTCTCATCTTAGCCTTTCAAGCAGAACTAATGCCATAGCTGGGCTTTGCTTTGGGATAAACTCTGCTCCCGGGGACAACATGGTTGCAACCGTGTTTTTCCCTTGCAGGCCAGAAAGAAATGGTTTCCACTGGATTTTCCCCCCTATTTTTTTAATCCAGTCTGTAGTTCTGAGCTCTCCTGCTACTAAGATGTCTGCCATCTAAGTATTCGCCAAACCTACGCTTGTTCGGCTTTTTCATGATTGGCAGAAATTGGCTGGAGAGAGAATCTTTACCTGCTCAAGAGAAGGAAGCCCTGGGTTGACTTCAGAGAAAGAAGCTCAGATGTTCCTTGGATAGGAGGCTACCCCCAAATACATGGGGAAGTAGCCTGGCCTTAAGTGGGAATGTCATGTCATGGCTCATGACAAAGAGCAATCAGAATGTTGTTGTTGTTAATTGCGAAGTCGTGTCCGACCCATCGCGATCCCATGGACAACATTCCTCCAGGTCTTCCTGTCCTCTACCATCTTCTGGAGTCCATTTAAGTTCACACCTCCTGCTTCAGTGACTCCATCCAGCCATCTCATTCTCTGTCGTCCCCTTCTTCTATTGCCCTCCATCTTTCCCAGCATTAGGCCCTTCTCCAGGGAGTCCTTCCTTCTTATTAGGTGGCCAAAGTATTTGAGTTTCAGCTTCAAGATCTGGCCTTCTAAAGAGCAGTCGGGGTTGATCTCTTCTAGGACTGACCGGTTTGAAGGCCTTGCAGTCCAAGGGACTCGCAGGAGTCTTCTCCAGCACCACAGTTCAAAGGCCTCAATTCTTTGGCGCTCAGCCTTTCTTATGCTCCAACTTTCACAGCCATACATTGCAAATGGGAAAACCATGGCCTTTAATATACGCACTTTTGTTGGCAGGGTGATGTCTCTGCTTTTAAGTATGCTATCTAGATTTGCAATAAGAATAGCAATCAGCTGGAAGGGACCTTGGAGGTCATCTAGTCCAGGGCTTTTCAACCTTTTCACCCATTGTACCACTTTTAGGATATGGCAACATCCGAGGACCACCAGTCACCTAGCAATGGGTCAAAAACTAGATGACCCCCCCAAAAAAACCCCGGAAAAAAGTGATAAAGTACACGTAGTCCTCGACTTACAACAGTTCGCTTAGTGACTGTTCAAAGTTACAATGGCATTGAAAAAAGTGCCCCCCAAGCCACAGCCGAGCAAGACACCTGCCTGCCCGCCCAGCCGCACTCTTCCTCCTGTCCGAGGTTTTCATTGTTGTGAGCATTTCTGTTGAGGATTGGCAGCGGGGGTGGGGGGGGTGTTTGGTTTTTATTCCCCCCGTCTGCTGGGTGGTTGCAGCAAGTTTTGGTCACTTCACATGACCCTGGGATGCTGTGACCCTCATAAATATGAATCAGTGGCCAAGCATCTGAATGTAAATCATAAGACCCTGGAGAGGCTGCAACATTCCAGCTGATTTGTGCTTCTTCAGGGCTCAGCTGGAGCCCAGCGCTGATCCTGGCGCTTCCACTGAGCCCTGACAGCCCCGAAGAAGCTCTGATCCTGGCGCTTCCGCTGAGCCCTGACAGCCCTGCAGCTCCAGCCATCTCTCGCTCAGGCTTGTGCGGTGCTGCCACCGGTTCAGCTCATTCCCCTCCCCCGCTACCACTTTTCTAGGATGGTCGCATACCACCTGCCAGGTGCCAATGTACCACACCACTGGTTGAAAACCCCTGTTCTAGTCCAACCCCCCGCTCAAGCAGGAGACCCTATACCAGGGGTCTTCAAACTTGGCCCTTTTATGACTTGTGGACTTCAACTCCCACAATTCCTCAGCCAGGCATGCTGGCTGAGGAATTCTGGGAATTGAAGTCCACAAGTCATTAAAGGACCAAGTTTGAAGACCCCCTGCTCTATACCATCTCAGACAGGTGGCTGTCCATTCTCTTCTTAAAAACCTCCAGTGATGAAGCACCTACAACTTCTGAAGGCAAACTGTTCCACTGTTAATTGTCCTCACTGTTAGAATATAGCAAAGAGGATACTCTTTGCTATCCTTGGATA